ATGGGGAAAAGTGGGTGAGACAGTTAAACATGGAAAATACAAGAGTTTGTGGACAGCCTGTTTGCAACGAATACATCTGATTATTCCGAATCGCATCACAGTGCTTGTGACCAAGAGATACGTTGCATTTCCTGAGTTGCTTATTGAATTCGTTTCATACAAACTGTTGGCAGTTCACTTCTTTTACACTTAAAGTTGAAACTTTAATTCAGTTTATTGGGGGTACTTTCACATTTCTCGCAAACTAAAAATTCTCAAAATGTCTAATGTCAAGTCACATTGTACACTTTTTGTTTCGTTTTAGGCTGCAGATGGTTTCTTATTCGTGTGTCACTGTGATACAGGAAGAATCATATACGTATCTGATAGTGTGACTGCTGTACTGAACCAAACACAGGTAACTGTTTTAACTATCGAATACACTTTTTGTCCCCAATGGAATGCTTCCGCGCTACTGCTGTGGTGGCTAGCAAACATTCGCTAGTTTCTTACCTAGTTCTATTCTATATTTGCTGACCGATAGCTGGTGCTCACAAATAAAAAAGTTTAGGTGCACAACAATTTAGGGTATCGGTTAAATATGTCTATGTTTACGGATGAACTTTGTGATTGTGAATAAGGCAAAAGAACATGCCCGTTAATAAGTCGATTTTGTGGCCAGCGTAATAGTCGAACGTCCCATAAAGCAATTTGAGTACATCCTATGATACGTTTTTATCCCTTTGGGTTCACTGCCTGTTAGCTCGGGTTATGTTTGACAATATCAGACAACCATTCTGACATTTAGAGTGTGAGCGGTCTACGTTACTTTGTCCATTTCTTTAGAATACATTCTATAATTTGGTTATCACCTGATGTTTTGGTTTCAGTGGTCGCTGTATTTCGTAGACCATGCTCGCCATACTAGGCTATCTCTCCTATCTTTCCGTTCGTTTATTATGTTCCAACGTGTTTCAAACCTATTACATCTTTCAATTTGTCAGTTTTTTTGCTGCTAGGATTCCATGAACATGCACTCACCGGATAAGAAAAGCTTTAATAAAATCTAGAAAGCTTTTGTTTAACTAGGTGAATGTAATAAATAGTTCGTTGAATCATTTTTATTTTACAGATTACAAATTGTGTAACATCTTTTCTGTTTTTCGGAAACTCAATAAATTGTCTCATTTCCATTTTCATCTGTTTAGTTTTTTTGGTCAAAGAGATTCTTATCAGTGAGAATTCCTTTATTCTTCTCAAGTTACATACGTTGATGAATTGATCGAAGTATGTATCAAAGCAGAGTGAATTTCTGATTAGAGTACCTGTTGTTCGTAGGCGATTTTTTTTTCATTCGACTTACAGTAAGTTATGTATTTCGATATTTACTGAGATATTTTCCGTCTCCTTTTTATCCGATATGTCACCAGTCGGAATGGTATCAACACACGTTATATGAACTGTGCCATCCAGAAGATTCGGAAAAGATTTGCGAACAATTAACTGGAATGACCATGCCAATGCAAGGTGCATCCATAATGGGTTTGACTGAACGTCCTTCCAACAACACTGGGCCGACTAATCCTTCTACGGCTGCCAGTAATACCGCCACATCCGATGTAAACGTCGTTGCCCCACAGAATTCGATTTCTCCCTCCACTCCAGGAGACTATTGCTCTGCTCGCTTGAACAATGCGCAACATCCTTCTCCCACCAATGGTCCGGGAGCTGCATCGCCCTCAGTCTGTCCAACTCGAATTCTTGATCTTAAAACGGGAACAGTTAAAAAGGAGGGTCATCAGTGTAAGTGTGTGTTCACTTCGTACTTCACAACTATTACAAACTGAGCCCTGTAGACAGGCTCTGTAATGCACGGTTATCCACGAAGATCAGATCACGCTCATTTTTTAAAAATCTTTTTTTATTACACATTTCGTGTGATAAACAGCAGACGGGTTGAGCCCCATAGTCACAAGGACCTGCTGTTCAGTGATGAAGACTGGCAACCTAAGCCCCGGGACTTGGAGTGGCGAACCACATAATGCCCCGATAGGTTAGGCGTGGTATTGAACCAGACGACAGCACAGCTGCCTACCTCCAAAGTTTGGCGGTGGTGGTAGGGTTCGAACCTCGGACCATAGGGTCCAATTCACG